AAAGAGACAAAAACCCTCCCCTTTTCCCCCGCTTGTGGGCCAAGACCCCCGAAAAAGCCAGCCAGACAAAGAGCAAGCAGGACGGCCGGCCGGCCAACAAGCCAACCGGCAGGAAAGACAGCCCCAGGCCCCCCAAAGGGCTTTCCCCGCCTGGGAAAGAGATTTCCAAACCGGGGGGACCCCCCCCCCGTTTGGGGTTTTCCCCCCCCCCCCCCAAAAAAATTGGAAAAAGGGCCACGGGGGGGGGGGGGGGGGGGCGAGTTAAAAGCTGAGTCAGCGCCTACACAGTAGTGTCTGATGTACGCGGCCTTCCCTCACTGAGACTTGAGCAGAAACCGCCACCAAACGGTGAGAGGGGCGACCTACAGTAGCTCTCCGACCGCGCGGTCTCACGCTATGAAGGAGAAAACAACCGTCCACTCTCTCTCGCAAAAATCAACGGACCACACCCTTCAACGGATTCTTCCACGTGGATCCCCCCCCCCCTTCGTGAGGTCAACAAGGGTCCCACAAAACGCGGCACTGCTGTCCCCTTTTAAAGTGCCGAGAAGCGCCGACACCAGCCGCAAAAACAACACCAACGACCTCTGTCATGTGTATCCCATCCATACGCCATGTACCACCACCAACGCCGCCCTCGCTCTCACCACCCCCGCAATCCCGCTGCAGGAGCTCTGGAAGGCCAGGTCCGTGCACGCCAGGTCCCGCGCGAAGTCGTTCAGCACGGCCGGGCAGGCGGGTAGGTGTCGTCGCCGGACCCGCCAGAAGCGGACGTTCTCTCTGCCGCACGACACCAGGCGCTGCGAATCGACCAGACCAAAAATGGCGACCGACGACGGATACCACGGGAGGAAACGGAGACGGGAGACACGGACGCAACGCGAAACACACGGACGAAGGGCGAAACGGCGTTCGAAACGAAGAACCCAACAAGGAACAACAACGACAATAGCAACGATAAGAGAGCGGACAAAGGTGTAAGGAAAGAATGACGACACTTGAGAAAACCCGCAGAGGTGAACTCGGCAACATTTGTACCGTGTTGTAGTGTCTGTCGCCTGGAAGATGGATTCGAGATTGAAGCAAGCCAAAGGGTGCTTTCCGAAAATTAGGGCTACAGTACCCCATCCACACTACAAGCGGACACCAAAACCAACAACTTGCCACCGACAACGACAGCAGCAGCAACAGAAAAAGATAACAGCACAACATTGCCGATGTATGTATCACCATCTTCGGGATAAAATGACAACGACAACGAAAAGATCGACATCATCATCATCATCATCAGCGGCAGCAGCAGCAGCAGCAGCAGCAGCAGCAGCAGCAGCAGCGACAACAGCTTTTCGCACCAGCTTCTCGAAAGGGCTGAAGAGCATCTTGGTGATGGGGAAGTCGCTGATCTGGCGCGCCACCACCGCCAGCCCAGACCCGGCGCCGTGGATCGTCCCCGCTCTCGCCGTGCACAGGAGAGCCACGTCCCACACGATCACCTTGCGCGGGCGCAACGAAACCAACCAGGAAAGGTGCGGTTTACCGGTAGGCAACGCCAACGACAGCACCGACGCTAACGCTAACATCAACGCTAACATCAACGCCAACACCAACGCCAACGCGAATACCAATGCCAACGCTAACGCCAACACCGACGGTAACGCCAACACTAACATGAACGCTGCTGCCAATACCTGCTCCAACACCAAGGCCAAGGCCAACGCCACACCTGAGTCCTCCGGTGGTCGTCGCCGCCGACGGTGCAAAGCAGCCGATCGTCCGAGCTGAAGCACATCGACGACACCCCCCACCGGTGAGCAATGAAATGCGCGGCGCACTTGCCACCACCGCCTTCGCGAAGAGGCGTCCTTCGGCCACCGGCGGCCCTAGCGCTGCCGCAGTCTGCCGGCGAGCGGCGGCCTAGGGACGTCGCGTTCCAGAGGCGAATGATGCCGTGACCGCCTGTTTGGGAGAGAGTATGCGGGGGTTAGTTTCGATCAAGACACAAAAAAAAATCGTCCTGGCGTCTATTGTCCGCCCAAAACGGTTTCGTAAAACGATAGTTCTTGTCAAGTTCTTGTGAAGCAGACGAGTGTACCGGTCGTGGGCCACATGCGGTACGGTACAAGCAGCGGGGGCCAAAAGCCAGCGTGAGAGACGAAAAACCGACTCCTTCATTCGCCTTTTTTTCCCCGTTTCGACGGGGCAGGATTTGCCCGCAAGCGGCGCACGAAGCCCAGCTTTGGTGTGTTGCATTCTTTATTGCCGTCAGTTGCGTCTTCTTTTGGGATGTACCTGAGAGGGGCTTGCGCGAAAATCCTACCCCATCGAAACGGAAAGAAAAAGGCGTATCAAGGAGTCGGTTTTTCGTCTCTCACGCTGGCTTTCGACTGAAACACGAACAATAACATGCAAGCAACCATTTTTCTCGATCCCGTTACGCACAGGAGGACGTCAAGCAAAAAACACGCGCTCACCAGCAGCGCCAAGTGGATCACCCTGTGCGGACGCCAGCAGGTGCCCGGCATGGCTCAGCTGCAGGCGCGTAACGGTGTCGGTGTGGCCCCTCAGGAAAATGTGCGGAGCCGGGGCCGGCTGCGGCAGCGCCAACAGCCCATCTCTCTCCTCCTCATCCTCCTCCTCCCCTTCCTTCTCCGCGCCAACGCCCCCATCCATCCCGGCAGGCCCATCCCTCGAAAAAACCGCCTCCGGCATCACCGGCGTCTCCATCAGCACGATCACGTTGTTGCAGGGGAACGCCATGAACTCTGCCCCTCTTCCGACGAACGTGACGGTGGTGCTGCCCGGGAGGTCCCCCCCGGTGTAGCACAGCGCCCGCTCCAGGCGGAGGGCCGGGTCCGGATCGAACTCTGGCGGATCTGGGCGAGACGCCTAAGAGGGCGCGGGGTTTTTTGGGCGCGGGAGGGGGGGGGGTGTTACATGTGCTTTGTGTACGTGTGCGTCCGCGGGGGGGAGGGAGACAGCAGTGAGGGAGGTAATAAGTAGGACAAGAGTTCACGGCAGGCAAAAATCCTTTCGATGCAAAACGCACCGAGAGATTGAACACACACAAGAGCACGAAAAGCTGCACGAGGCTCTCGACCCCCCGGGGGGAGAGCTTGAAAAGCAATGGCCGGGTGCACCAGGCAGCAGAAGCTGTAGTACGCAAACGGAATCAAAAAAGTTACGGAAAGGACCTGTTGGGCAAGGAGAGCACCGCCTATAAATCGATTGTGACGTACATTCACCATCAGATATGATACACGTGCCCCCCGTTCGAATCCAACCAAGCACAACACTTCCACCTCTAGGCCAGGAGGAAGCACGCGAGATAAAACGGGTGGATCCATCCCGACAACCCCGGATGGTGACGCTCCCGCACGCCTGACAGCCCCGCGCCCTTCCTCCTCCTCCTCGTCGCCGTCGGTGAGCCTCTCGCCGCCGTTGTTCAGCACGGCAACCACGGGGGTGGCGGGCGCGGTTTCTCCGCCGGGCCACGCCTCGAGCTCCTCGTTGGTCCAATCCCAAGCGCTGCCCTTCTTGGCCCCACCTTTACCACCACCGCCGCCACCACCGCCGCCACCACCCACATCACCGCCGCCACAAGCATCAACATCAACACCAACATCGAAACCACCATCATCGTGGTCGTCTTCCTCATCGTCCTCCAAGAAAAAGGTCCGCCCTCGACCTCCTCCCCCTCCAGCAGTAACTCTCCGTCTCGTGGGGGACACGGGGGGTTTCCCTTGTCGCCTGGCCACCGCCGCCGTAGGCGACGGCGCCGCCATCAACGATCGCTCTCGAGCTCTCCACACACCGCTCGTCGGCCTCGCCCTAGGGCTAGAGGCAGCAGCACCCCGGATTCCGCCGCTGCCGCCGGCGGCGGCAGACGCCGGGCGCATCTGCGCCGGGCTCGCCAACGGGAACCGAGAAAACGGCGACACGCAACGACTGCGGGAATACGGGGTCCTCGGAGACGCAAGCAGCACCGGCCGCGGGGGGGTGCTCTGGCCCCTGCGCCCGCCCCCCCTCCCCAACGCGGCCGGAGACAAGGCGGCGATCCCGACCGCGACGGCACCACCTGCCCTTCGTGGGGTACGAGGGAAACCCTCTCCGACGGAGACGCCGCTGGACTCCCTCCTACCCTTGCCGGTCGGCCGCCCTCTGATCCCGGGCGCGCCGCTTCGTCCGCGGCCGCCAGGGGTCGAAGCCCTTCCCTTCGTCTTCACCGCACCCTCCTCCTCGGCACCGCCGCCGACGCCGTCGTTATCCTCATGCGCCAGGAGCCTACCCACCGTCCCCGGCTCGGCGAAGAAGTGGCGCTTCTCCATCCGCCGGCGACCCCGGGCGTCGGCGGCGTTGGCGGCGGCCACGGAGGGCGTCGGGGAGTCCGCCCCTGGGGGCCACGCCAGGCGGGTCGTCGGACGCGTGCCGTCGGCCGGCGGGGCAGCGTTTTCGTCGGGAACCTGTTTTGGAACGAATGAGTTGTCAACGAGACGGGGGTGTACGCGGGCCGTTTGTGAGCAGGTAGGTGCGCGAGGAGAGGAGTCAAAAACGGGTCCAAGTTTAGGGTGGGAAGGGGAAGGGGTACATCATGCTCCCGTTCCCTGAAAAGCTACCGAGCGTTTGTACCCCCCCCCGTCGTTCATCAACAGCAGCAGCGCAGGGGCGTTTTTGATGCACGTGTACCCGTATGTGTAGGTGACACAAGACATGACACCCCTTGTGCGTACTTCCCAAAGCTCGATTACTCCACATTGTACAAGGAGTGGCGGCGGCGAAAATGACGGCGTTGGAACGGGCTGATGCGTTGGTCGTCCGCTTGCTTGGTCCCTTTTGTCACGCCGCAGGCGGGGGCATGGCAACGACCGGCACGCAGCGCGTGATGGACATCAACCCGGAGAAGGTGCACCAGCGCGTGCCCACCTACCTCTGGTCCGCAGAGGATGTTACCGAGCTCATCAACGCCCTCAAGAAGGAGAAGGCCGAATAAGTACTGTAGCCTGTTTTTTCGAAAGAGATAAACTTCACCTGGAGAGCTTCCGAAAACGTATCGTCATGACGTATACATCTCTTCGTCGTGAAGTACTCGAGCTTTGAAAATCGGTCCAAGGGGTGTGACACCTTGTGTCACCTGCGGTACTATTGTTACAAGGGAGCGCGCCTAGGGCCCCAAAGCGCGCCCGTGTTAGCCTCCTTCTCACCTCCGGGAGCCACAGCCAGTTGTACGCCGTCTCCCAGTCCTTCCCTCCCCCCGGGATCCGAAAAGCCATCTCCTTGGGCAGCGTGTGCGGCGAGTACACGCAGTCCGACGCGTAGACGCCCCTCACGACCATGTTCGACCCCAGCTTCACCCCTCTCAGCACCCCGTACTCCCTCCCCCCGGCCGCCCCGGCCCTCCCGCCCCCCTCGAGCATGAGGGCCACCATGTCGATGCCCACCACCGTCCACCCCCGGGAGCGCGACGTATCGAACGACACCGGGTACCTCAGGGCCCCGCCCCGCTTCACCAGCGCCGTGCCGGCGGCCGCGTCGGCCGTAGCGGCCTCCCCTATCGTCGTCGTGGCCCACCCGGCCCCGCCCCCGCCGACCCCCCCGCTCTTCCAGGCCTCCAACGCCGTCGCCGTTGACGCTACCGCCGTGGAGGCAGCGCCGTTGCCGTGCTTGGTGTTCCTGCTGAGGGTCGTCGTCGTCGAGACTCGGCCGCCTCCGGCGTCCCCGGCAGAAGCAGGTCGCTTGGAAGACCCGCCGCCGCCGCCGCCGCCTCTACGGGTGGGCGTCGAGGGGCGGTTTGAGTACAGGGTGCTGAAGGTCACGCGCTCCGGCCTGCCCCCGGCGTCAAGCACGTCGAGGTGGAAGGTCATCACCTTGTCGCCGATTGGCCGCACCTGATTGGTCGATCCATACAGTATCGCGGGGGAGCAGCGGGGAGGGACGGGTGAGAACCAGCCGCAAGAAACGGGAGAGAGAGCACACGCGAGGTTCCGACGAGGGGTGCGGTGGAACGAAACCAACAACAGGCGGGTTTAGATCACGTCGCGGCGCGCGCCCGTACAGCAGTAGCTTCCAAAAATAATACATGAGTGAGCAAGCAACAAGAAATGTTTTAGTTATATGGCTCGAGATGACATCATGACTGCTGCCAGGTGAGGGGCACAAAACAAAAGACGTTGTTCGGAAAGCTGACGCAGACGTAATCAAAACAAAAAAAAGCTTTGATAGTTGGGGGGATGGCATGTTGGACAACATGTGGTCCGTTGTCGATGACCGACAGCTCGAACTGGGCTGGTACCGGGGAAAACGGTCCCAAGGCATGGTGTGTTTGCGGCGCGTAATGAGATCGCACGGCAGCTGGGAGGGCCGTGGATCGGTAGACGATGCAAAGAACGGACAGAAACTAGGATGACAAAAAACAAGAGCTGCTGAAAATAACATCGCGGACCAGCGAAAAGAAAAGAAAAACCAACACTGTCGCATGCGCACCCAACCTTTGCTTATCTTACCGCTGAATCTATGACGGGAGTCATTCCAGCACAAGGGGGGGGGAGTAAGTATCGTAGGTGATCATGCGGCAACCTATCCAAGCCCCGGTTTCAAACGACACGAAAACAAGTAAGTGCTCTAGGAAAAGGTGGAGGAGAGTTTCAAGATAGACAGCTTGAATGCACGGCTGTCGGCGGTTTCTGCTGATGGAAAAACACACAAAAAAACACGTGAAACATCTCGTTGCTTGAGCTTTTACACTTCTCAAGTCTCCTTGCGCCGTCGACGATCAATGCAACCGTGTCTGGACGTTCGCAACTATCGCGACAAGCACGGCTAGGTGAAGGACTCGTTACCCCCGTTGTAGCAAGCAGTTCAGCACCACACCGGGGATAAGAAGAGCCACCCGTCCCGCAACCAGAGCAGAGTCGGTCGTTTTAGGCACATGGAAAAGTCAACCCTATCAAAGAGAGCACAGTCGGGTTTTCCAGAACATGGAAAAAGCCAACACTGCCGTCATCGGCTATCGTCACAAGAGAGACTGAAGGCGGTACACAGGGCAGCAGATCATCGCTTACAACATACTAGTAGGAGATACCAAAACGCTGGCGGCGCGAAAAACTTGGAGAGGCGTCGACAACGCTTGCAGAGGCGACCCCCACGGGCGTCCTGAAAACCTACAACAGCTACAACTGTGCTGTGTTCGCCCGCCCTTGGTGCTGCTGTACATTCTGCGGGGGGGGGGGTGAGAGACAAGCGTATAGACAAGCATCCACCCGCACATAAAAGAAACGTACAAGCGACAAGCAAAACATCAACCAGGAAATACACATGTACTGGTAACTAGCTATTTTGCGTGTCTCAGGGGCGAAAAAAGACTCTCTCTAAAACGCGCATGCGCGCCTTGCACGTGTTACCGAGGCGGCATCGTTTTGCGCCCCCCTGTCGCATCGTCGCTGCATTTACGCGCTGGGGCCGTGCCGGCTGTGCACAGTCGGTCGTTTTTCCGTGAGCAACGACGAGCGAGACCAACGGTCACAAGACAGCAACGTGAACGATCGGTAACACCTGCACAAAAGTCAAAAGCGGCGCAGAGAAACACTCGCAATCTCTTCAAGACTACCTAGCAGGTGTGAGTATACATCGTCCTTGTTAAATATATCCAGAGCAGTTGCGGTCTGTTTCCACCACCCGTCAATCGACCGAGGTAGACTGAAAAGCTTTTGATTCAACCCGTGTGCCCAGACGTTTCAGTCATTCAGCCAAAAAAAAACTAAACCAAAGAAAGGCTGAGGTTAGTTCCAATTCATCAAGCCGTGACGCTTGTCCAAAAGCAGCAGCAGCAGCAGCAGCAGCAGCAGCAGCAGCACACTGCTGCGCTAACGGATTTGTTCCCGTCTTTCTGGATATCGAAATGGAAGGACGCGTTCGTTCCATGGAACGGCGTTTCCGGTTCTGTAGGGTCGCGCTACTGCAGCAACTCCCTCCAGCGCCGAGCCATCTCTCTCCCCGGGTGCGCTTAGTACGCCGCAAACATAACACGCATGACCAAGTGGCCAGCACGCCGCGATGATGCTGGTGGCGTACCGAAGAGAGGGGCCGGGGGGAGGGGCGCCAAATCCCCCGCCAACCGCTCGGCGCGAAGGGCGTGCCGAAGGAACGGTAAATACGTAGTGGTGGGCGGCGGTCATCACGAACAGGTGCCAGACAGAGCCAAGGATGGGGCGAGGGATCCAGACGTGGGCAGCGAAGCCGCCAAAGACAAGCTCAAGATATACACCGGCACACGCACACCCACAGGGGAGAAGCGACATGTCGTCCTTACGACCAAGCACCCCCCCCTCTCCCCAAGAAAATCAACCATGCTCCGTCCCGGCTGTTTTCGGCTAACGACTACGGCATGCAAGGATATGAGTGCCCCCCACCCCCCCCAAGGACTACAAGAACTGGCATATTTGATGGTGGCCTTGTTAACCGTTGCACCCCTTTTTGTGCGCGGAGCTGAGACGAGAGTCCCATACCCCTCGCCCCTCGGCCGCCCGCCTGTGCATTCAACGCGGCGCACCACCGCCGTGTGGGCGGCGTGTGTCCCTTTTTCTCCGCGGTGCAGTATGCGGTGTGTACAGACAGGACCAAGAGGCATATACGCGGAAGGCAGGTCTCTTTTTCTCATTGCGATAGATTTTGTCGGGGAGAGGGCGATATCCCCCCCCCAAAAAAAATCTCATGGTGATAGATCTCTCCGGGAGAAAGTAAGGCAATAACAACACTAAAAAAATGCCCGGCCGGGCTATCCTATTTTGTGGACTGTTGCGTTTTTCTCTCACGAGAACGCATTTTGCGGAGGGGAGACCTTATTCTGCGAGGCCGTGAAAAACAAAAAAAAGGATGGTGGTACAATACACGTGCTGTGTGTCCTGTACAACTCAAGAAGAGTTTTTGGCGCAAGTGGCACAGGACGTACGAATTTTCTACGTTACACACACTTTCTCTTCTCATTGTACAATTGTACTAAATATGAACATGCGGTGTGTGGAAATGGAAGTGTTTCTCAAAGCGAAGGCGCGTGCTGCAGGGGGTTGGAGTGGCTTTATTTAGTCGCTTGTTCGCGCTCCGTGGGCAGGCGGGGCAGGTTCCCATTCCACCCCTGCTGGGCGCAGACGCCGCCCCTGGCTGCTGCTTGCCACGAGCCGCGAGAGCACACAAGTCTAACGATTTTCGGGCTACTTTGTGCAACACATACAGATCGAATAAAAAAACAAGGTGGTGAATCATGGACAAGCCCCTAAAGCAGAGTAGTAAAACCTCGGTGCTGCCGTTCGCCATCAGCCAGCACAACAGGACCCCATGCACACGACGCTCAATCGCGAGACATCAATGGCACTTTTACTGCACTGCAAGTCACTCCAGGGAAGGCTCCCTACGGCTTCCAACAAGCCAACACCGGGAAACCTACCACCACATACTCGTTTTAGTCGGAGAGGCCTACATGGACATGGCAACATGGCAACGCGGCCGCTCTCAAGGCGTTTTCGAAATCTACCATACGGAAATATCTTGAAATATCCGCCGCGGCGCCGTATGCATATGACACTACACACCACAATCTACAATCTATCTTCCCTTCTTGTAGCAGCGGCAACGGTCGAGGGGGCGAAGCACATAGCAACAGGTTTCGCAAAAGAACAATGGCGATGTAAATGCTATTCATGTCCATTGATACCGAGTTGAACACGCAAGGAGCGTGTGGACCCTACCAGTACTTGCACTTGCGAAACAACAACGTGCATGCTTTTTGTACAATGCATCGCCTATGCTGCTGTGCTGCAGTTGCTGCTGCTGGGGCTAAAACCTTGTAGCGTGCGTATCCTCTGACCAAGCGTACCTGAATGTAAACGAACCGGCCGGTGAGGTTGAGAGGGGCAATCCTCGCCTCCCGCGGGACCTCGAGGTAGTTGGCGGCGCTGACCGCGCCAGAGATCCGGCAACACCTCCTGCCGATCGTCTTATCCTGGCGGGCGGTTGATACGGGAGCGGAGTAGCAGCAGGCGCGTTTGCAAGATTTTGTTTTGGAATCGCGCTTTTTTGGTGTCGAGCAAACGGGACAAGGGGTGTGTGTTTGGTGCCGGCACAAAAGTCACCACGCTTTTTCTTGGTAGTGGTCGGCGGCTGGTCCTTCGTGTCTCTTGGTGCGCGGCTGGCCGATCCGGTGACAGCAGCGCAAGAGCGGCGGCGGCTCTAAACACGCGCGGGCAGCAGCGAGAGAGATCGCGCCAAACACCGACTGCTGCTGCTGCTGACTAAAACTTGTACCGTTTGTTATTCGATGTATGTAGTACATACGCGCGCACGAGGACGGATGTCACCCTCTGCCTCATGATCGGTGCATAGAAAACCACTCCATCGCCTCCTCTTGCAGCCAGAGGGTCTGCCGATCTTTGCACTTGTTTGTCCTGCTCTCACCATGATGTGCTTCACGTCTCCCACGGCGTGCTCTCTCGCGCGGTCGCCTCCTCCCCCAGGGGCGCTACCGAGCCTGTTCGCGGACCCCGCAAGCGCCAAGACGGGCACGAACGAGTGCTGCCATTCCGACTCCGACAGCTCGCGCAGCACCATCGTCGTTCTCGCTGCGACTACCTACGTCCCGGCTCGATCCACGGGCAGCAGAAGCAGCAGAAGAAGTTCTGCTCTCTGCCGCGCGTGGTGTGAGTGTGCGTGGGAGGTAGCGCACAGCAAAGAAAAAAGGGCTGCTGCGTCCCTCCGCTGCTTCTTGATGATCGGCCGTAGCCGTTTTGGTTTTTTGAAAAATCCAAACAGACTTGTAAGTAGTAGTTGCTCAACGCCGCGAACTCGAGCAATTCTCACGACGCTCCTAAGAGTGCTACCGCCAGCGTTTAATGGCGGCACACTTCTCCCTCGCGGTGATCGCCAGCCGCGCAGGATTCAGAACCAATGTTCCTGGCGAGCTGGGCTTCAGTGCGCGTACCCGCCCTGCACAACAAGGACGCGGCCTGTGGTCTGTCCTGGCCTGCAGTTCGAACTACTGTACCCCCGGCCCCCCCCTGCCAAAAAGAAGAACATTCGGCGGGGAGAGCATTAAATAGGAAACGGCCGTTTTGGTTGTCTAGTAGCGGAGGAGCTGGGCGCGCTGGACTGCTGTGTGTGCCGGCTGCACGGAGAGGAGGTGAGGTGGCATGATTACGTACGTGCCTTGGTAGAAGATATCGGGGTGAAGGATGATGTTCAGATTTTTGTGTCTTTTGTGTGTCGAGACCGGTACGCCTACCCGCACACAGCAGGGATTCGAAATCACGCCAAGAAGCTAGACTACATCGGAACGTAGCAGCACAGCAGCAGCACCAGCGCCGGCACACCAACACCAGCCCGTGCTGCGTTCCGTGCATCCCTATTTCGTCGCCATGGTTATTCTTCCTTCTGCGTAGACCTTTTTCCGCACTGCTCTGATGTGGTGGATGTTTCCTGGGAGCAACTGCAGCAGAGATTTGCTGGTATGATCTGATGAATACTGATACTCCTGTTTTGCGCAGGTCCGCCCCTACTGCTGTACAGCAGTAAGCGCACAGCTTCACAGCTGCTGATGCAGTTGTGCCTTCGTAGAGAAAACGGTGTGTGAACAACGAGCTGCGTTTCTCGAGTGCCAATCAATTTTGGCACACTACACCTGCATGCACGTCCGTGCTGCTTTCGTTTGGCCGTGGCAACAGCTGCCAGAACACGACAGCAGGAGCCAGAGTTCATCAACTACCGCCGAGTGCCTCCGGCCTGCTTATACAGAGGGAACCATGGCTGATGGCGCAGATGTGGCGTATAGCTTCCCCATGCTGAACAGCAAGAAGATCGTGGGGTACCTGGGCGACCTCAACATACACGTGTCGGAACAGGTAAGAGGGTTCATGCGCAGGAAACCCATGATTGCGATGGTGCAACAAATCCCAACCCCAACCCGGGTGTTCAAACGTTTCAACCGACGTGCTGCCAAATTGAGCGTGAGGGCTTCGTCATCGAGCGTACGTTTCCGGAACGCCTCCGACTGCTGCTGTGTGTTTCCAACGCCATTGTAGATAGTCGGCATATTCTCCGCCGTCTTGTAGTCCACACGCAGCAGTCCTTCCCGGGACTATGTATGTTGAATCGATGTGGTGCGCGCCGGGGGGGGGGGGTATCCTGCGTGCGTCGCGTAACGCCGCCACGCACAGGCTGAACCTTGTTCTCACTACTTATTCCGTGGGCTAGCACCAACACTCATGTTAACAAGATCTTGTCATCCCTCGAGCGGATCTGGATTCGCGGCCCGAGCTCTCGACAGCCTCGATCCAACCGACCACCCTAGCATCATATGCATACAATATACCGGTATATTTTTTTCGTATGTACGCCGTTGGTGTTTTGCTTGTCTCAGATGCTGGCCAGCCCGAAGGACCACGTGCCGCAGCTGACGATGCTGTTCGAGAGGCTGGTCGAGACGACGCTCGGCGTCACCAAGGAGGAGATGAGCCAGCCGGTGTTCGCGGGGCTGGGCTGCTTGACCTATCCTGAGCTGCACGACGTGAGAGCCTGTCTGTCGTATGCATACATGGATGGTGCTTTCGCTGTTTTGGTTGATGATGGTGGCCTTCGTTGTCGCGTTTTGTTGCTCTTGTTGGGCATGATCCGTTGCCTGGCCGGCTTTGCGTGATCTAGTCCCCCATCCCCAGCGATGGTGTGAGGAACGTTATCCCTTGGTCGTTCTATGACCCTGCTGACCGCGTGTGCAGCCTGTGCGAATGAAATTGCTTGACAGCGACCAACCCACCCAACCCCGGCCTCCTCGCAACGACAATACGGGGTCCTCGAACACCGAGCAGGAGAGCATCGCGTTCCTGGCGCTGTTCCGCAACGTGTGCAGGATGATGAGAATCTCACGGATCGAGGACTTTGCCCTCAAGGATATGTCGGACCCCAATCAAAAAAGGTGCTGTGAATTCAATAGGCTTTGCTTTCGAACGAAGGTTGGTTCTCGTTTACCGCTTTCGCTTGATTTGGTATGTACAGTGGCAAGATGTTGACAACGTTGATTGATCTTACAGTGCTGTAGAGACGTCAAAAAATGCGGTACTTGCTGTTCGCCGGTTCCTACAAGTTTAAGGTTTCTAGTGGTATATTTCGTGGCGTCACCTTGTTTTTACCGCTAAGGTGCCATGTCCCGCGCAACGATTACATGTATGTCGAAGGGAGGCAGCACGAGCATGTCGTGGTTTTACAACGTGGCTCTACGTCCTCCTCAAGCCAGAGGACAATTCGAGGCAGCACGAGCATGCCGCGGTCTTTCCATCTTACTCCGGTGGTCACGACGTAGCTCTGCGTCCTCCTCAAGCCACAAGACAAATCCAGTTTTTGAACTATCGTTCCCGACGCTTTTTGTCGTGTCGTCAAGTACCGCATGCTCGGGTTTGGGACATTTGGTTGCCGGGAACATGCCCCCCCCCCCCCCGCCCCCTCCCAGAAGAACGCATTTTCTTTTCATCCCACGAAACAAAAACGCAGGCTCCGGCGCCAGCTCAGCGCGGTGATCAACTTCGTCCGTTTCAAGGAGGGGAAGGAGCACCTCTACCTAGACGCCATGGCCAAGAAGCAGAGGCTTGCGGCAGCTGTCGCGGCCGCACAGGTATATGGACCGAAAAAAAAACACTTCCATACGGTGGTTCGCATGTTGTGTGCGATGTGCCATACTGCTGTGTTTTGATTGGGTGCGTGTGTTGCTGTCGTTTTACGCGTCGTCGCGCGCTGTTTGTAGTGCTTCTTGCGGTACGAAAAATGCAGTGGTTTTAATACGCGATGTACCAATCGATTCGGTTCCGATATTTTCGCTCTCGTTTTCCCTCCTGGTATGTTTTTGTGTGTATGTGTGTGTTTCTACTACATATGTTTCTGTGCACGTCACCCGTGCTATCTTGTACTATCACCGGTTTGGGCGTGATCATGTGTGTGAGGTTGTGTCGTGTTCGTCACACCAACGAGCCTTAAGGGCTTTCTCCCAATGTCCCGCGTCTATCCACAGACCAGCAATCACGTGGTCCAAAGGCGGTGAAATGCCAACTTATAAATTCTCGTTCGTGTTTCTTGTTTGGTGCACGTGCATACACCCCCGGTAAACCTCCTCCCGCTGTTCGCGTGCCCCCCAGCAACGGAACAACAAGCTGCAGGAAGAGCACGAGGACATCCAGGACAGGATGGCGGAGAAAAACAAGGTATAATAGTGTCTCTTGTTTTTAGGCCGACGAGTGGCTTTCACTCTTTGTGTGCCATCCGCGTTTGACGTTGAAGCCAAATTTTGACGGGGACTAGGCTGGTTTGGTTTTCTCGCGGCTGACTGTCGTTGTATTGAGACAGACAGACAGACAGAGAGGAAAGAGAGGACGGAAGGAGGTGACGGAGTAACCTGCAGACGCAGGGCACACGCTACAGCAGTACCGCAACAGAATGAGCGTTTTTCGCTCAGCAGGCGTCTGCGTGTTGATTGATTGCTGGATGCCCTCAGGCTATCGAGGCCGTTAACGCTAAGCACGAGGCCGCGAAGCAGAAGACGGTAGAGCTCACCAAGAGCGTCGGCACGGCGCGAGAGGAGCTGGCGAGGGTCAAGAAGGATAACAACGACATCAAGGACAGGGTGGCCACCGCCCAGGCTACGCTCAACCGGGCAGAGGTGAGGGAAGGGGGCTCCGGAGTATGTGGGCGTTGAGGGGGTGCACGGAGTGGAAATTGAAGGCCGGCCGACAGGGAGGGGGCGGGGGTGTTGATGATTTGGGGAGAATCCAGGCATCGGAGTGGTGAGGAAAATGATAGCGTTGAGTCGGTGATACCGCTCCTTCAGGGGGAGGGGAGGGGAGGGGGGCTGGACTAGCAACAGGCTTTTGACTTGACATCAGCACCTTCCTCATATTGCTATCTTTGTTTACCTTTTTTTTTTTCTCTCTCTCTCCTCTGTTTCATTTCTTCTAACGCTATGTTGTATCAGCTCGAGAAGAAAAATCTCCAGGCGCAGGTGGTCAGCTCGCCGAAACGCATCCTGAGGGAGGTATCCGACCTTCAGCAATCCTTGGAGCAGGTATGCTGCTGTTGCTGCTACACCTACATAGTTGTCGTTGTCGTCGTCGTCTTTGTCGTGTTGATGCTGTCCCGTATACTTGGTGCTTTTTTGTCGCGTGCTGGTGGCTTCCTTCATAGCCCGTTCTTGCTGCTGCCGCTGCTGCTGCTGCTGTGGTCGTTGAGATGAGTTTATTTCGATGGATGGAACTATTTTTTGTGTCTTTCTCAGGTGCCGGTGACTTTCTTCGCGGTTCGTTCTTGCTGTTGCCTGTTGTTGCCGTTGCGATGTTTTTTTTTTACTTACTGGAACTCCTTTGCGGATGTTTACTGTAGGAGCTGTCGGAGGTGGAGGCGGAGACGAGGAAAGCCCAGAGCTTCAAGCACAGCGTGGTGGTGATGAACAAGGCGCGAAGAGAGCTTGCCAAGGCTACGGCTAACATCGAAGAGGTACTGTACGGCAGCGCCATCACAGTTGAAGTACCGGGCGTGTTGTGGTGCAGCGGTACCGTTTTTTGGTGTATCACAGAGAGAGAACTCGTGAGAGGTTCTCCAGCGTCAGACAGCGGTGGGGGGCGGGCAGGACCCAAGGGTGCGCCTCGTGCACGACATGGCCTGCGTGGAAACATTCGGTTGCCGGCACTGACGATTGATCGAAAAGAAACGCAAGAGCGCCGCGACGCATCCAATCACGACCGTAGACTTGAAGGATCGCCAGCTGGGCGATTGATCCTATCGATAGGCGTAGATAACAACACCAGCACAACACCCAAGCACAACCAATAAACTTATAATTCCTGGCAGGCGGCGACGGAGCTGAGCAAGCAGGAGTCCGCCATGAGGGAGGTGAAGAACACGCAGTACAAGATCCACGAGAAGAGGAACGACTTTGCGACGAGGTCGTCGGAGAAGGCAGAGCTCCAGCGCAGGCTGGTCCGGTGAGGAGTGTTAGTTGCGCTTGGTTGCTTGCGTTGACCTGTCGTGTGCCAACCGGCTGATGAGTACGAAACCGTCGGTCTCAGTGCGGGAAAAAACGGAAAAACGCTTCGAAGCGCCATGATCTGGGTGGGTATGTTTGTTAGCGTATTTCCTGTCTGTGCCAACCGGCTGACCAGCGAAAAGCTGTCGGTCTCAGTGCCGGTAAAAATCGGGAAAGCGCTTCTAAGGGTCATGATATCTGGGCGAAGTGTGATTGTTTGCTAGCGTTGACCTGTGCCAATCGACTGACCCCTCGCAACATAGTGTACGATCGGTCTAACAACAAGAAACCATGGTTCTCCCAGGGAGCTAGCTAGCATTAGACGAATGGGACGAGCCCAGGTGTCAGGCAAGCACGTCGTAGCTTCGCGCACGCCCTGTGCGGGTGTATGCATACGTACGCGCGTGTCTCTCATGCCCATGCGTATGGTGCTACCTGTTCCGCGTATTCATCGCAGCGTTTCTTGTCAGCGGGGTATTTGAAATCCCCTGTCCACTTTTGGGTATTTGTGTCGAAGTCATCCATGCCCTCTTAGTGGACAGTGGTTGCCCTATGCTTACTCAAAGCGAGGTTTTGCCCTTCCTTTTCTCTCCTTCGCGTGTTCTCTGGACTCTCTCGTTTTGTTTGTTTCGGGTCTCGCCTTTCTTCTCTTGCAAGGAATGGTGAGAATATGCACAGCGGTATCGCAACAACAACAACAACAACCACGAACACGCGTGAAATTGAAACAGGTTCGAGGAAAAGCTTGCCCACCTTCGCAAGCAAGCGGCCTTCAAGACGGAAGCGATGGCGGGGGAGATGGAGGCGATCAGGGCGGCCATCGCTGAGAATGAGGCTCACTACAACGAGGTGGGTGTGCGTGCTCGCTCCTAGCTTCCCCGCTCCCAACACAAAAGTAAATTGAAGAGCAAAATATCCACTCACTTCATTTTAAGAAGACGCGACAAGGTCAACCAGCAAATTTATTGTTTTCATTGCGTGGGTTCAATGGGAGTGGCGTAGAAAGGCTGTTAAAAGGGAGAGCTGTACCCACAAGAGTTTTCTTTTGAACGTGCTTCCGTTGGTCAACATGAATCCTTGAGAATCTTCGCTAAATATGCTCTCCTCGATGGTTCATGTATGTCAGGGAGTCAATCCTTTCAGTTCCGCGGGCGGTACAATAGTCTTGTTGCGCGCTGATTCCGGGTTGATCCCATTCTCGCCCCTTCGCACACCAATCCCAGGTGATTTTCACGCTATATGCCGTGTTTTGTGCTTCCATCACGTACTCCAAGTTGCCGTCGTCCCGAGTATACCACCGAGAGGATGACCCTTCTTGACCTTCAATGGATTTTTCTGCCTGTTGAACACAGCCCGATCATGCTATATAATAGTGGGTAGCCCCCGTAAAACTACCTGTACCGGTAAGAGAGATGAGGAACGACGAGCGACAGCCAAGAAATATGTAGGCGATAAAACGCCTTGCTCGAAAAGAAAACAATCGACTGCTGTGGTGTGTGTGACCTGTTGTTTCCGTGCTTGTTGCGGGCATTGTTGTCGTTTTGCTTGTCTTTTTGGTTTAATTTGACGCAGGCACATGCTCGGATGGAGGAATCCCAGGCGGTCTTAGATCAGTACCGCCAGGAGAAGGAAAACGTGGAGGCTGAAGTCGTGAGTATTTCGTAACATCAAACATTGTGTTCCTAAATAGGTACGCGTCGGGGTTATCTTCGTGATTGCTGTTGTTCGCGTGCTGGATATAGTTCGGCGCACTACGGTGCCCTTCCTTGAGCCGACGAACGTGTACGCGTTAGAAGCAACAGCAATATCTGCTTGCTTGTGCGGTAAGTGGTGCCCTGCTTGCCGTTAAGCTCGCCCTGAAAAGCTCACCGTGACGTGAAAAGGCGGGGCCCGTCCTCGGCAATCGTTGGGGAGACGCAACCCTTTCTTCGTTTAAGGCAATCTCCACAGTCAGTGACGACCTGGACTGATGTTCCGTCGTGCGCTTCGTGTGTGCGGTACATACATACGAAGTGGATATAATAAAAACCCTTGGATTCCTATCTTTTCTGTCGATCTTCCTTTGAACAGGCGAAGAACGTCTCGGACACGAAGGAGCTCCTGACACAGATCGGCGGCATCACCGGTGCCTACGCGAGGCGGCTCCAGGCAGCGATGCGAGACGGAGAGCACCATCCCTCAACCGTCCTCACATGAGAACAAGCCCCATCATCCCCAAGGAGCGGAAGTCATGCTTGACTGACTTTTTTCTTTTAACTCTTGTAGCATCAATTGCGTGTTTTTCGTGCTTTTTTCGTCGCTGTTGCCGTAGCGGGAAGAGCTCCAAGACTGCACTGCCCGAGATGGCAAGGCTGCTGCTGTGTGAGCGTTTTCCTCGGCAATGCGTTAGCAGGAGCAGCAACAGCACGGGACAGGTCTCACCCCTTCGGTTGTTTTGGGCACGTCAACCTTGAAGTTTCTTGCATGGTAGTGTCTCGGATAAATGGTACCATAGCCTTCAGCACAACTGTCTTTCTGTGTTATTTATTTTTCCTAACAACTGTCTCACACCGCCGTGTAATAAGATACTTGAGATTTTCAGTGGGGGTGTTGCAGAAGACTGACGGACGCACAAAAACGAGTAAACAGACGCTTCAGTTCTCGCGGACAAAGGGGAGTGGGGAGGTTGCACCCCTCCCTGTGGCGACCGGCTTGAAACCGTTCATGTGCCGAGCGAGAGCCAGAGCCTCTGGGACTCGTTGTTTTCGTCCCGCAAGGCATGTGCCTCCCGGGGTCGGAAGTCCAACAAAACTTCCAGTTGAAAACTGAGCGACACAGCAGCAAATCCCGGCAACGATGCGGCGTGATCGCTTCCCGACGGAAGAGGAGAGAGGGGAAGGAGGAGGCATGATCTCCGAAGGGAGCTTTCGGTAGGCAGGGTCTATTCACGCGAACGTGAGCAACAGCGGGCGGCAGTTGTGCGATGACGCGCTTTTCTTTTCCCCTTAGCTTGGCGTTTCGCCCCGCTGTTCGTAAATTTTAGGAGTAGCAGCAGCAACAGCAACAGCACTGCTGCCATGTTGGCGGCTCGTGTGCCGTTGTTTTATGGTGCGTCGGTTGCTGGCGAAGGGGTAGAATACGACTGTCTATTTTAGAGAAGGTAAATACGATGTGCAGGTTGAAGTAGATGCCGAAGCTGCTCTAGGCGTTTTGTGCGGGGGCATGACCTTTCGCAGTTGCCGCCGCGAGAGGCGTGCCTGTGGTACATCTTTGTGTCGCCCACAGGCGGTGGTAGCGCCAACGTTCGAATCGATTTGTTCTTTGCAATATCTAACTTGTTGAAGTGGGAGTTTGGAAGGGAGGAGGAATCAATGTCCCAATATACAGTGCTGGGTCTTTGCCGCGTTTTTGGCTTTTCGCACACTAACATATTTGAGCAGTATGTCCCATGAGTCAATCATGTAACTACGCTTGCCTAGTGATTCAACCTGAGGTTTAATGTTCTCGTCTTTCTCCCGCTTCTCGTTTGCGTGGTAATTTCATGTCCAGTGCGCTTGTGTCCGAAAATGATACTGGTACTTGCTGGTACGCATTACCTGGGGGGCCAACAGTCAGGAGGTTGCGACCCGCGACAGGTACAGCAGTATCGTACGAGAAAAAAAATCAGGTTGTTTTCGATCCGGGACCACTCACGCACGGACCTCTATTTCCCGCGCCTTCCTAGAAGCACACAAAATAAGTCGGCTGTCGGACGGCACGCCGCCGATATCCTCCGCACTTGTGCGCTAAAATCGACCCCCACAACGCTATAGGGCCTAACCCATCATGGCATGATGGCCGATTCGTTGTGCATATATATGCGGTTGAGGTGGAATCCTCGAGATGTTGGGGGCAACAAACCAGCAGCACAAGGAGAGGCGTCGTCGTTGGACAGCAAAGTCGACCGACGAAACAACATATCAACAAGACATGCCATCATTTGCGTTGATTGGTCCTTCTGAGTCCAATCAAAAGGTCATACGTACGTGTTGTCATGCTCTCCGCCGAAGCGTGGCGCGAACGCAGACAATATTCACATGATTCAGGCTATTACAAACACACCGATACTCCGTAAAAGCGAATCAACCACACAACGCAAGGCACCGCGGCGGCATCCAATCATTGAATCACGCCGTGTCTACCGCCACTCTCGGATGTGTGTCAATCTTACTTTCCCAGGCGAGAGCTATCGATCGACACACACTCCCAACGAAATCAACACAAACCATATATCCGCCTCCGCTTTTTTCGGAGAATTGATCAATCCATCCGAGTCGTGAGTTCTCGCGTCTCGATGCCCTCCTCGGTGATGAGGTGAACCACCGCCCCGTACCCGCTCAAGCAGTCCCGCTCCAGCGCCGACAGCAGGCAGCGGGAAGCCACCCGAAACAATTCCTCCCGCTCCATCCCCGGCCGAAAGAAAGCCTCGCAGGTTCCGTACAGGGACTGCGCCGAGGTACCTGCCACCACGAAATCGTCCACTTCTACGGGGGCTCCAAGTATGTCCTGTGGGGGGGCGGAGGGCGGGGGACAGGTGCTACTCAGGTGAGGGACTTGCAGAAAAAAATTAGAACATTAGCTGATTCTGCATGTTTGAGTTGTGGGCACTATCGTCTGTCTTCCCCAAGAATCCAACTGGACATGTGGTTATTGAATGGTGCTGTTCTACAAGTATAATGGTACCGCTTTACCCAAAAGGCCAACCAAAAACATGTCCGACTGAGTCCTTCCCTCCAAACCTTGCGTGATCGGCAAACCTTCCTCCTGGGCTCGCAGAGGGATCGAAGCATCTCACAACGCCGTGGTTATGGGCACACACTCACGCCGATAACCCTGGCTGTGCAAAAATTGCAAAAACATGCGTAAAAATGGATACAGCGCCCAGGCTGTCTCTTGTCTTCACGGAGACGCCATTTTCCCATGGCCCTGACACTTGACAGGCTTGTTTACTGCTGTGGTGGGGCCACAGAGAGAACATCCAACTCCTTGGCGAACGACCTGGAAAAATCTCTCGACCAATGTGAAAACCCATGACAAACACGTTTTCGAATAGAACAGGCCCCGCCTCGCCCACCCCCCCGTCTGAAGTACATACACCAGCAGCCCAGAACACACCTGCCCGCAGAGATACGGCCTGCCCCGGGGGTCCAGACCCGCAACGATCGGCTCCACGAACCACGGGCTCCCTCGGCGCGAGTAGAGCAGGGTAGAGAGTAGCCCCGCCAGCGCCGCCGGGGCGATGGGGCGGTCGGCCTCCGCCAGGCTCTTGAGGGCGACCTCCGAGGACAGGTCCTGCATCACCGTCAAGACGTCCGTCCACAGCCCCGTGAATCCGCAAAGTAGTTGGCCGTTGACCTGTGTGTGTGTTATGCGCGCAGGTTGTAGGATGAAAATTTTCGGTGTATGTTTCAGAGGTGTGCCCTGTCGTGGTGTGTGTGAGATGGGGGATTGAGGACTGCTAGGGTTCAAAAAAGAGAGAGGGGGGGGGGGAGGGGGGGGGGGCGAGAGAGAGAGAGGGAGAGAGAAAAAGAACACCAAAAGAGGCGGCGAGATGGCACCCCCCTAGACCTCGACTACTCCATAACCAAGATTGTAATAACACCAACAATAGTGGTTTTGGAAAGATTGCATCGACGGCTTTCCGCAGACGCATCGGACTCTTTCCGCACCCCCCTTGGCTGTGGAGCAATCGAGCTTGGAAAGTCGGTCTCGGGGGGGTGTCGTGCCATCTCTCCGCCTCTTACGGTAGCTGACACGAGAGGCCAAAGCTCGGCTCCGTGATGTTTCCAGGAGAGGGTGCGCCACACAACAACCTGGGTCGTCGCCAAAACAACCATTCAATACCCAAACAAGGTTTTCATGTAACAGCACTGTTGTACACCAGGTATCCAGTTGGCTCACAGTCCCGTGTAGGTTGTCCTCGCCTGGTCTCACTTCCTTTCACATTACGTCTCTCTGGTTTCTTCAGGCCTGTCCTGCTGCTGTCCACGTGGTCCTACACGTGCCCCACTTTCATTCTCGTTGCCCAACGTGAGGACACCTTGCTCTCTGCAAGAGCAAGAGGGTTCGCAACTCTCCATCAACTGCTAAAACCACTACAGCAGTGAGGTCAAAGTTGACAGTCCCGTGCACACTCTGTTCGTAGGTTGTGAACGCTAAAGTTTCCCTTTCCAGTGCCTAGGCGTTCGCGAGTGCTGTGTGCTGTACAAAGGCCGCACAAAGCACTGTTTTCACCGACTTCGAGCACCCAGAGCTTCGACTACTTTGGCGGAATACGCGACACATCTATCCCATCACCAAGGTGTGCTTGAAGCCGTGTGCCAAACAGCAGGTGTGCAGCTCCCTCCCAAAGCCGTACCTTCAACACGCGTTTCGCCTCGGTTGAGACAAGCTGCCCTTCCAGCCCGAATCGCCGGTCCACCGCCAGCGCCACGCAACCCTTGCCCGCCATAGCGAGGCAAGACCCCCCGTTGAGCTCGAGAGGGTTTGACGAGGCCAAGACCCCGCCCCTGAGAGCTACCGTTGCGACGAGCATGATGGCGCCGATCAAGCGCGTGAGCTTAGTTGGAAAAAGGCAGCGATGTCGTATTCGTCGATCGTCGCTGCAGTGGGCGACAGCGGTGCAACGCTTTCGAACTCGTTTCCCGTTGCCATGTTGGCCGTGAAGCATTTTTGCTTCCATGCTCCCGGCGTGCACAGACTTGCCAAGCGTGTTGTGTGTGTTTTGTGGCGATCGCTCTGTGATCTCTGATCCGTCTCCGGTCCGGTCTCCGAGATCTCCGGTCCACTTTTAATTTTCTCTCGAAAACGCCGCGGTTGAACTCCGAGATCTTCGTAGAACTTCCGCCAACCCTCTCTCTGCTCACTGCTAACCCCCCTCGGTCTCTGGCGTCTCGTCTCTTTCCCTCCAGCCGCTGAACCCGAGATGAGTTCGTCCGCCGCCACGTACCTGGTCCTTGTGACCGTAGCGTTGTCCGTGACCTATTTGAGTTTCCTGATGTACTCCGCCTACGGCCTCGGAGCTGTGAAAGCGGCAGCTCCTTTCGTCGGAACCGTTGCACTGGTTTTCGGTGAGTGCCAGAGCCCTACGTGTAGTCGGAGGCAGTACAGTACGTGCACTTGTCTGTGTTTGCTTGCCTAGCGAGAGATGCAGCTGTCATAGTTTAGGTTAGACCATCCACCCGCCCTGCTATATACCTCTCTCAGTAGTACCGCGCATTATATGAAGCTGATGTCACGGCGAGGTTGCCATTCATGTTCTGTTCCTTGTGCTTTCAGCGGTGTACAGTAGCACCACCAAGGTAGGCACCGGCATCATCAATAGCGGCGTACCTGGACCAACGCCGAGCAGAACGCATTAGCACAGAGTGGATGCTGCCACTTGTTAGGGACAATACCTGTTGCACGTTCTCTCTCGCCGTTCCCACCGAGAACCACAACCATATGTATAGCCTATCATACACCGGACACCCCATTGGCACATGCATCCAACGCGAAAGTTTCTCGGCTTTTTCCTGCGGGTGTCATCCAGATGCCGGCCGCCGTTTTAACTTTTTGTTGTTGCTGTTCGTTCGCATCATCTGTTGTTGAACCGTTCCCTATTTCCGATTTTGGAAGCTGTCGCACATTGCCTCGACCGAGCGCACGAAGCGGAAGACGCAGCGAAAGCGGCACCGAAATCTACACAAGGGGGGGGTACGACAGCGAAACCAACGGCAACTACCACGGCGATACCTAAGCGCCGCCGAATAGCAGACTGACTTTTGTGCGCTTGGGGGTGGGAGTAGCCCGTGCGGCATTCGCTCTTGGCGGGGCTGTGGAAATACTAGGTGATATAATAGCATCGTTTTCGTGGTTCTTTTGTGTGCACGTCAGAATGATTGCGTGTAATTTGCTGGTTGTTTGAATTCAGATCCCAGAATCCATGTGATGACGGTGTAAAGGATACGGTTACCTTTTTTTTATCGTTGCAAACGATTGCAGTTCTTGTACTCTGGCTAGTCTTTCGTCCGGCCAGCAAGCAACCACATAACAGAGTCGCACGCGATCTTGGACGAAATTTCTTCGGTTCTGGGCGGGTTGACTTCGGATAGGAGCGCCCTGTTGGGCATGGACATGGGGCCAGGCAATGGGGGGGGGGGGGGGTACTCCTAGTCCTGCCTGCCGTAATCCTTTGACCCTTGGCCTCCCATCCCTACCAAACCGGGACGGAACGCGCCCGGTTCTCACCGGACCAGGCTCTCCCATCACCAAACGCGAAAGGGGGGGGGGGGGGGGGAAAAAAAAAAACCCGGGGGGTTTCCCCAATTTTTTTTCTTTTTTTGAAGGGGGCCCCCGGAAAAAAAAGGAAAACCCCACCTGGGGGTTAAATCCTTTTATTCCCCAAAAAATCCCCCCCCCTTTTTGGGAATTTGGGGGACCCGCCAAAATGGAAAAAAAAAAAATTTAAAAACTGGTTTTTCCCCAATCCTCCCGGAAAAAAAATTTTTGGGGGGGTAACTTTTTTTTTTAAAAAATTTTTCCAAAAACCCAAAAAATTTAAAAAAAAAAAAAAATTTTTTTTTTC